GCAATCACCAGTTTCTCACCACAGAAAGCAAATATTGAAACGCTGCATGATTTATAAATGCTGAGTTCCACAATTTAAACAACTGAATCTAACACGACGACATTAAGAGAATAATATTTGAAATAACTCATACATGTTGTTTCTATGCCTATACAGTACATATTACTGGCCTATATGTAACTCTATAAAAACGTACATGTTAATCTTATATATTTTCAAATGTAAAATTAACATGTTTATTAAATGCAATAATAACTGAAATAACTACATAATAATTTAAATAACCGAATAATTAATTGGACAGTAATTCATGGGCAATAACTGAAATCCACAAAATATTCTGTTTTTATGTTTTGGTTTATTATAGACACAATGTATCATCCATTTTACTATGGGCATTTTATGAATGTTATAAACATACATCTTCAGATATCCAAAGGATGTTTGTATGTGATAATAGTATAATATCATAATATAATTGAGAGAAGCCGCTGTTTGTATTTCATTTTCCTAGAGGAAGCAAACAGATTATATTAAAACCTGCCCAAACCCTGTGTTCAAACATACAGTAACTACCTTCATTTGAGATGCATGCATTGATATCGATGGTTTCTGTGTGTTTAGCCAAATAATCCATCAGAAATATTTTTGTCTCGTAATCTTGAATGAAATACTTTCTACTGTACTTAGTGAGCATTGAGACTCTGCAGAGCTTTTTAATCAGTTCAACAAATTTACAAATTGCAAACGGTATTCTTGGTTTCATTATTGGTTTTCGTCTAAATAAAACTAAACTTATAAATTATTTCAGGTGCATCAGTAATGAAAATGATCTCAAATGGCCATGAAACTCCATGTAAAAGGCATCATTTTATAACATGAGTTTTTGACTAATTTGGCCTTGACTTTTATTTTTTGACTTCATTATGTGACTCAAATTGTTTTTTTTTTCAGTGTCAGTATTTAATCTGGTACACCACTATTGCAAGGTCTAACAATTATGAAAAAGCAAATACAAAAGCAAAAAAATATAAATCATTTAAAAAGAATGAATGTCTCTTTATTGTATTTATTTATTTTTAGCGTTTAGTCTATTCTCTAATCGGAGACCTATTAATGCAAATATCAAGCAAAGGTTTGGGTTGCATTTGCGTTTCTTCTGTTTGAACCCTAAATATTTGAGTTTCTGGAAAATATGAATGTGACCTTATGACAGATTTACACAGAATATAATCATCAAGGTAAACTTCAATCATGTGATTCCCGTCCCTTCCCTTAGACTATATAAAGAACAGCGTTAACCTCGTCTCTGCACACTCTCTTCTGTCCTCAGGCAAACAGCGAATTTCAGAGATTCACCATGAGACATCTTGTTTTTCTTCTCTTACTTTCTTCTGTGTGTTTCTTTGCTTTGAGTGAAGTTGTAGGTAATAATTTTAGTAAATGCAAGGAGTTCTTTTTGAACACCGCACCTCCTGACTTCACACCACCATGGGGCGTCTCAGTCAAGCCCATCTGTCAGTGTATTTGGGATGACAATGATAAAGAAATGTATCTTTATGCAACTTTGTACAGCACGACCTGGAAGATCCCCGTCTACTCCGCATATGTGTTTCGTGAAAGCAAAAGTATTGGGAGATGTGATGTCTGGTACATTGAACCTCAGGTAAATATTGTTTAAGTTCATATTATATCAAGAATATTAAAGGTGGAGCATGTCATTTTTGGATATTAAAACACTCATATTGCAGTGTTTAATGTGCAGACAACTGTAATTAATCCATTCATAGTTTGATTCCTTAAAACGATCTGTTTGTGTGGCTGATGGCAAATGGAGGGAATGTTTGAGAAACATGTCTAAAAAGTCATTACTTGAGTCTATATTTTTGCAATTACGACCGAAGCTACTAGAGACACAGAAGTTGCATAATTCTTCTTAAAAGTTATTTGAAATAACAATAGATAATGTCTATTTTGAAAATTCTGAGGTATTTTGTTGTTTTTGTTTCTCATTCCCTTTAGCTGGATGGAGATACTGAGCCATGTATGCGGCCTAAAGGCTACGGTACAAATATTGGCACTAATCAGGCTGTTAATAGGGACTATGAGAAATCTGGCTATGACAAAGGTCACCTCTATCCCGTGCTCCACACCGACAATCATCTGTCAATGCTGGCCACATCCACACTGACCAACGCGGCTCCGCAGAATCCAGATTTCAATCGGAATGCATGGCTAAGACATGAGGAAGCTGTAATTGAAGACCTGGAATCCTGTGATGAGGCAGCTTATGTGGTGACTGGTGTAGTTCCTGACACAAAAACCATACCGAATAAAAAAGTCACTGTGTCAAAGTATTACTGGAGAGCCACCTGCTGTCTGAAGAACAGTCAGTACACAGGGAAGGGCTATTATGGACCGGACAACAATGGCAAAGTGGAGGAATTAACAATAAAAGATCTTCAGAACAAGCTCAGTGGTTTTTACCAGATACAAAAAATAGAAATTTTTCCAAGTATACCACCACTAAATCAACCGGCAAAAATAACCAAGACTACATACACATGTAACTAAAAAACTGCACCTAATCCAGTTTCATTGAAGTTATTACAGGAGACACGTCATATAAAAAAAAAATGGTTTGTTTGTGTTTTTCAGACAGGCTGCAAAAAAAAAAGGCTATTCTTTGAAATATCAGGTGATTCTGATGTTTGTTACTAGTCAATAAACAAAAAAAGCACTGAAAATAAAATAGTGTGCCCCTTTAACTCAATACAATTGAGGCAACTATTTGCATCAGCTTTTTGAGTATTTTGAACTAATTTTATTTGTGTTTGTTCTGTTAGACTTTACATGTTTTCAACTTGCACACTTCAGTAATGACAGCTCTTTTTTTTCAATTTACAAACTATAGTTTTATGTTTATCAAACATAAACTTCGGTTTTTAAAAGTAGTATTTACCAGTTTCTCCTTAAAAGCCACACATTTTTTCTTTCAAATTTACTTATATTAGTTTTTAAATTGTATTCAATTTAAATATTTAAATATTTCTACATTTTTTTTTCTACATGCAATAGTGTAATATAACCGTAAACAAGTAAAAAAATGTATTCACTTTACAATGTAAATGTGCAACAAAGCAAAATACAGTGTGCATCACCACCATCAGCAACACTTTAGATTAGGGAACATTCACTATTAATTAGCATTCATATTAATAGCATATTGGCTGTTTATTAGTATAAAGCACATATTAATGCTTTATTCTGTATTCTGTACCATATTCTAGATCCCTCATACCCATAGCTTAACTTAACTGCTTCCTTACTATTAATAAGCAGCAAATTAGGAGTTAATTGAGGAAAACTCTTAGCTTCTAATTAGTTCCAATTAGTCATTTTTGTAGGCTACTTCAACCTTTTTCTTTTCTTTTCTTTTCTTTTCCTTTCTTTTCTTTTCTTTTCTTTTCTAGGCAAAGTCCAGTCCATTCATCTGTCACCTTCTTTTTCATCTAGTGTACTGATGCTTTTGATAGATGTACTTTAAAGGGGTCATGAACTGGCTTTTTTAATTATTTTATACTGTTGTCTGAGGTGCACGTATGACATTCGCGTGGTTTTTACATTCAAAAACATCAAAATCAATAAGTAATAGGCTATTTTCTACCCTGGTTTTGAGGCCGGCTCGAGAAACGCTCTGCTATGATTGGATAACAGTTTTGCATAGTAAACTAACTACAAACTAACTTCATAGTTGGAGCCTTCTGTAACTTTAGACATGTACACATAATCAGGACATATCAAGCGATCTCTAACAAAGCAACAGTGACACATAGTACAGATATGTTTTACTCATACACTGTAAAATCCAATAGTTTACCTTACTTAGATTTAATTAGTAATCTTTACTTAGTTGTTATACTTACTAGGTTTTATTAAGTTACAGCTACTTTCAAG